GGAGCGTTGATCCCCGGAACTCTCTCCAGGTAAACTCCAGGTACCCCTCAGGAATGTTCCTTGTTTACAGGGAGTGGCTTTTCATCCAGGGGGTTGAACCTGAACTGCCCTTCCTTTAATCGAACCTGATTGCTTTCCATTCCCAATGGGGTTGTATAACGCCTTGTTTAGTGTTTTCCCCGATGAAGGTAAACTGTGCTTTATTAAGCTTATTGCATTACTTCAAGTTACGAAGAAGTTTTAAATTTGTCGAGTTGATTCCAAAATATCTTACGCAGCTTCTCTCCGAAGCTGAAAATCGTCCCTTGTCATGATGGTACCTGCAGCTTTCTAAATTACTTAGTATCCCTTGACCTCAGGTTGCATCCCGGTCAAGAGGGTGATTTAAACGAGATTTGCTCTCGACAGTTCACCCCGTTATAATAAGCACATGAAATGTGTTATGATGATGTCACAGGAAACATTCCTGATACAGGTCTTTGTCATGGGAGTATATGAGAAAGAGATTGTAGAGGACTTACAAGTCACAGACGCTATCTGGCGAGAATTATATACTTCTGCTTACATTAAAACTATCATAAATTATCTAGGTGTGTGAGGCAAAACAAGATTACGGGATGTCTCGTTCAGGGACGAGACTATTACTGCAGGAACGCGTTAATATAGTGTCTAGTGGTAGCCTTATGGCAAGCCACACGTGACCACTGACTTAACACACACAGAACTTCTGAGTGATTTGATGTTGCTAACCTTCAAAAAGGGTATAGGGTGCCTTGATACTGGTAAAGGGTACTTATTCCAGTGAATTGAAGCTACGGTCCCCTTCCTTGGATCAAACCAGATAACATTCCATTTGGGATTATTGGGTCTCCAAAAATATATTATTATTATTATTATTATTAGTTGATAATTATAACACCGCTTAGCTCCATTATGGGTGTAAATAAAATACAAATACTAGAATCGTATAGGCAAGTAGCTTAATTACACGTATATAAACTTAAAATTAACTAATGTTCCTGTTTTTCCTGTCACTAATTATGGAATCTGTTTATAATGGTAATTACTTTCCTACTCTTTGTATGTGTGTTTTAGGAAAGATTGGGGACGCGCTAGGCTGGGTAATTATTTATATTTACTTACAGGAACAGTTTTATTTTCTTAATTAAGCATTCTGGTACTCATTAAAGCAAGGCGTAAGAAAAAAATAAGCTGACAGAATTTACATTTGGTTAGATTTACATCACCTGGTGGTTCATACTACTGGAAGCATTTGTAACCTAACTAAAGCCGTGTTGTTATTATTATTATTACAATCAAGGGGGAAGCGCTAAACCCGGAGGATTATACAGCGCCTGGGGGGGGGGGATGTGGAAGGCATTCAGGCTTAATTTGGGGAACTGGAGCACAGATCCAATTCCCTAAATCAAGAGCCCCTCACCAACATCAAGGAACCTTCCTTGAGGGGAAAAAAGCCGTGTTGTGATAGTATCTAGCAGTCAACTGATTAGGTTAGTATAGCCGTAAACATGTAGCTGGTTGATAGTATGAAGAAGCAGTGGGAGGTACAGTACACGAGACATAAAATAATTTTATTAATAACGGAAGCTATGGTAATATGCCTCCTACGTTCTTAGCGCTTCCCCTTGATTATAATAATAATAATATGCCTTAAATATTACTTACATGACAGGTGATGCTCTTGTGCAGACCATAACGACTATTATTAAAACGTTTTCGAGAAGTCGGAAGTAAGGAAATCAATTATTTACATTAGTTCGGGAAGGTCAAAGCCAGCGCTACAGGGGTACGGCTGACACCAACCCCTACCTTTTATTATCACTGTCGCTGACACCACTACTCTTACCATCACCACCTGCTACCACAACACGACCACCTCTACCTGCTACCACCACAACACGACCACCACTACCTGCTACCACCACAACACGACCACCACCACACCACCTGCTACCACCACAACACGACCACCACCACCACTATGTAGATGCTCTATGTTTACGCTAAACTAGTTTTTTAAAGCGAGAATGAGAATGTATAATATGTGAGAATGAGAATATTTAATATGTGAGAATGAGAATGATGTTAGAATGAAAATGTTTGATTTTTCTAGCGGCGACATCTGTTAATGAAAGAGCTTTTAAAATCTGCCTTGATGCCGCTCTCTCTCTTGATCCAAGGAATTAAATATATACTCCCTTGTCATGGATCAAACCTGATTACTACCAAATCCCCGAGCGCAATATTTCCCCAACGGGTTTATCGCTTCTTCATGGATATTATGCGCATGTAATTTTTATAAATGGAGGAAGATTATCATTTTTGCGAGGAAAAAAGAAGAAACATTACCCGAGTGATGAGTTTGATGTGGTAATTTTCTGATTCATTACCTTGTGACACTTTATTTTTAATCCAGACCGTTTACAAAACTTGTAAACAATGCGCCTGTGTATAAATGGTAAATTGTAAGTGTTATGTTTACACTTAACTTTAAGTGAATATATTGTGCCCCCTGACAACGTAATTGAGTGTTACTCTTACCTGTGGTTCGAATATACTGTTAGGGATAATATTCCTTTTCTGATATCAGCTTGGTACAACGTTAGAATGTACTTTGATCACTATAGAAGAAAACGTGTAGTTAGATTTCTCAAAATTAATTCATAAAGGCAGAGGTGGTGTGGCCTAGTAGAGCGCAGCCACTCTGGAAATGTGGAAGCTAGTTAGATTTTTCATTTGATAATTAAGAATCGGGGTGCTTTCTTAGAGCTACTGTTCCAAATGCAAGGTAACCTGGACACCAAGAGTGAATTAACAATCAGTGTGGAGCTCAGGGCTAGCAGTTTAGATTATTATAATCATGAGGAAGCGCTAAACCCATAGGATTATACAACGCCTGTGTGGGGGGGATGGAAGGCATTTAGGCTTAATTCAGGAAATTGGAGCACAGGTCCAATTCCCAAGATCAAGAGCCCCTCACCAGCGTCAAGGAACCTCCTCCCTTGCGGGCAAGCAGTTGAGGTTCGGTCTAGTTAGCCCTAATCTACGGAGAGTGCCTGGAGTCTGAGGTTCTAGCCCAAGAGTCAACTTTGCTATTGTCCTTATATTTGAAGGTCCGATATTATAAAGGCTTTGAGTTCTTTGTGCTTGTCGACTTAGCTGTCCATCTTGATCATATTTCCAGTAAGGAGCTAATTTTATTAACCGAAGTTCACTGTCGCACAAAAATTTAATGATTCAGTTACAACCATTGAAAACTTTGCTCATGGATCAAGGAAACAAGAAAAAAAAAAAAAAAAAAAGGACAAAATTTTCACCCTAAATGGCAACAAACATCCACAACTACGCAACTTACAATGTGTAACTAGAAAGACTGGTAGAACATTTCGTGATTGTGGAGCCCCAGAACTGCTCAAAGCCTTCCAAACTGCATTAACAAATGCAAGGAAGAGAAAACAACTTAGGCAACAGAAGTGGGAACAATAAACAAATCTACCTTCTCTAAGTTTAGCCTGAAAATATGTAAATAACTATAAAAAAAAGAGTGGTAATGCTGTTCATGCTATTATTCTTGAAAAAGCTTTTGACCTCATAAATAACGGGGCCAACACATCCACTCATGAAAATCACCTATCTCATATTAGAACGAGTTGGGTCGTCGCTAGATATTTTTTGACACTATATTTTCTAGTCACAATGAACGACTATCAGTGAATGAGCAAGAATGAACAGGGACTCGAACCGTGGTTCTTACAGGCTACATGCCAGGACCACTTCACGAGTCCCTGTCCATTCTACTGTTTATATCCTCTATATTTAATTTTAATCTTATTGCCATTTGTTCACCAAGTCATATATCCCCCTAATCCAGTGCTATTCTATGCCAGATCTTGATCCTTTCCTATGACTTCATTAATATTAAAACTACCTATATACTTTTTTTATTGAGCCTATTTTCACTGAACAATTTTCTACATTAAATTTCAACGTGCATTTATCAATTCTTATATAACTTCTGTGTTGCTTAACATTTTGCATTCGGGAATGTATGTTTCTCACTCTTTCAGGCAGGTCAAGTATATTAATAATATCAGTGCTGGTACTAACCCTTGTGGAACGCCCTGTCTGAGCAGACATCATTTTTTCAGTAACTCCTGCGTGTTCAGACCCAACTGGCGAGTCACCTGTTAGCTACGCAGAGTAATTAAACTGTAAATTACACCCCCTTCGCCCACTCCTTTCATATAAATTCATGTAAAGGCTCTCACTAACATGTATTAACGTGATGTTATATGTATGATCTGTGGTCCCGTACCAGCGCGTATTAACATGATAGAATACGGGTTAGCTTCCCTATCAGCGGAGGTCTTATCATGCCACAGTTCAAACGTCACCTCAGTACCGGCCGGCACACAGGCTACGACCAGCTGGACGTCTCACACACTTGTACGAGTATTCATCTTGCAGTGAGTTCTCCGTTTGTTGATGGCACTGAAGCTTGCCATAAAAAAAGAATGTTGTGAGGTGATTACCTTTTGATCGCTTATACAGCAGAATGAAGTATGCAGTAAGGATTTAAGTTTAGCGTAAAGAGATGAGAGTGAGACGAAATGCTTCTCATCCCGTGTCTGTCTTGCAACTGCAGGTCCAGAGGTGTAGTGAGCGTTGACGGAGGACTCCACGCCATCTATTGAGAGCTTGTCCAACTGCATCTCTCAATTCTTCCGTTAAGGTAAGCATTTTACACTGCATCATTAGGAATGTCAGGATTGTATTACAAAATGTGAAAATACGTGTTTTCGTAAGGGAGTTCCTACATGGGATGCCTCGTAGCAGTTTACGACGTCTCGGCTTTATGAATGAATCTGGTTAGCTCCTCCCACCGGCAGCGCGCGCACCAGAGTGACGTCATGGCGGGTCATGAGCCTAGGTTTAAATACTGTTCAACACATCAAGAGAGAGCTCAGTCATAACTAGCCTATTCGTCCAGACAACACTGAAAGAGTATTTGAAGCTTAAGTCTCATAGCTTCACTGTGATTTATATTTATTATATAAGTGTGTGTTGGGTGAGAATACAGAAATAAGGAAAATGAGTGGGTATGACTATATGTGCGTGCTTGCTGACTCCACGGTGGTAGCGCGCGTTTGTTCCACCAATGTGACTACCTCAACCCACAGAAAGAAAACCTTTCAATGGAAAACCTTTGGTGAGTAACGATAGTAACTAATCAGCTGCTTGTGATAAGGTTTTGCACCGAGATAGATTGTTGTTGCACGAGAGGTTTTGACATGTAATTTTTTTCACTGGTAACTACATGATTCCTGCCACCACATTCATTGCGTAGAATTTTTTTTTCATGTTACTGTTTTGGAATATTAGTAATTTACAAACAAAATACTGAGAGTTATTTGCTAGAGTTTATTATTGATTTTGGCAAGTTGAATTAGTTAATTTTAAATGGATAAAAGTTGAACTGAATAAGGTAAAAGTTAAATGTTGTTTTTCGATTATTATGAACGAATAACAGCTTCGACCTGGTGATGCTAGGGTCACCACGCTGCTAATAACACATGAACAATATTGTCAGGTAACGTAGAAGATGTCTGAGTGGAAGTGTCAACTGGAGTAGATCAGCAAGGTAGAAACGTTTGTTTATGAGTTGTGTTCAATCTAATCTCGAAATGTTTGTGTATAAAAGGTTGGAAATGTGCTTATCCAACTTTGTTATAATATAGTATTTATTAAATATGTAAATATTTCAGAATGAGCTATTAGAAAAAATGTTTCTTAATGAAAATATAGATGTGAATGAGACGTGGAAAGTGAAAGTATATGTGGAAACGAAAATGGAACAGTTTCCATTATAGTTATGGGAGTGAATGACAGATTCATGCATGGGGTGACACAGTGGAGAATAAAGTGGTAAAATCTTTATCTTCCTGATACGTACAAAATTTATTTATTTTAAACAGGGAAAGTGCTAAATGCATAGGAGTCACATAGTACCTCGATGGTATTCAAGATCGATTAAGTTGGATCAAAAGTCTCTCGCTAACATCGAGGCATCTCCCTTGAGGGGACAAATAGCGTGGGTATTAACGTGGGAAGAGCCAGGAACGTTCGTAGGTGACTAATACAGATGGGATAAAGTTCCCATCTGTATTAGTGGAACAGTTTCAAGAGGTTGCCATATAGTGATTGAGATTAATAAGAAAAAGCGAACAATATGCTTACAAAGTTTGATAATAATGAAAACGATATCATGGGATTACCTGAGTTAGTGGAAAACGTTTTTGAGCAATAGTACTGAGTGACAGCGTGAACAGGAGTAAGCGGGTTAAAAGGGAATGTTTCAGTGTGAGGGAAAAAAACGCGTGTTGAATTCAGAGAGGAGAGGATGAAGAAGAGTTGATAGGTTGGGGAGGAGGGGCGTGGCTCAGTGCTAGTGGGAAACGTTTGTGGAGTAAATATTGAGGCACAGTATAAAAGACTGGACAAGGAGGGGGGCGTATCAGCGTCAGGAAGGGAATTTTTTTTTTTTAGTGGAGAGTGAAGGTCAAGACAAGGTTTAAAGATTGGGGGACGAGAGGTGGATCATTGTGAGGAGGAAACGTTTGAGGGGTGGAGAGGTTGAGGCAGGGTGACTGAGATGTCCTTGGGCTCTGTTGTCACTGAGATGTTCAAGTGCGGGCGAGCAGACTTATTTTTTTTTTTTATTATGAAGGGAGTTCAGTATTATCTCTTTAATTTTCTTGTATATGTTTTAATATGACAAGGAAGTGCCTGATGTACCCAAATAACATACGGTGAGGTTATTTACGAAGGTTTTGTAATTAAGCAATGTAAGTTTAATCAGGATATTTCGAAAACCTGCTGCATAACGCATAACGAATATTTTAAACCCTGTCGAGAGCTGTTTGTTTTGTTAACTAAACCAGTCAACCTACACACAAACACACACACACACACACACACACACACACACACACACACACACACACACACACACACACACACACACGCACACACGCACACACAGCAACACGGGGACACAGTTGGAAGCTGAAGACACAGATGAATCAAAGGGATGTTAGGAAGTATTTCTTCAGCCACAGAGTAGTCAGGAAGTGGAATAGTTTGGGAAGCGATGTAGTGGAGGCAGGATCCATACATAGCTTTAAGCAGAGGTACGATAAAGCTCATGGTTCAGGGAGAGTGACCTAGTAGTGACCAGTGAAGAGGCGGGGCCAGGAGCTTGGACTCGACCCCTGCAACCTCAACTAGGTGAGTACAACTAGGTGAGTACACACACACACACACACACACACACACACACACACACACACACACACACACACACACACACACACACAGATATGGTTTTGAATAAAGTGTAATGAACACTTATCAGTGCTCAATAATAACCCCCATGAGGACAGAAACTCAGAAGATTGATTGTTCTGTATATTTCAACCAACTTCTGGGATCTTCCCCAGAAGGAGATCGAAATATACAAATCAATCAGTCTTTGTCTCCATGTGGGTTATTATTGAGCATTGATAAAGTTCATTACACTTTATTCAAAACCATATCTGTGTGTATATATATATTGTATATATATATATATATATATATATATATATATATATATATATATATATATATATATATATATATATATAGTGTGTGTGTGTGTGTGTGTATGCAATAAGATCACAGTAAACAGGTGATATCAGCATATGCAAAACAACCAGTGTGAAAGAATAGCGAAATTCCAAGTGCTTTCGTGACTTATCACATTATCCTTGATAATGTGAGAAGTCACGAAAGCGCTTCGAATTTCTCTATTCTTTCACAGTGGTCGTTATATATTATATATATATATATATATATATATATATATATATATATATATATAATATATATATATATATATATATATATATTTGATGTAGATTGACTCTTGTTAGACCAATCCTAATTCCACTCAATGAATAGCACCTGTATATGTTAGTCATTTTTTAAAACTGTCTCAACATTTTTTGCTTTTGCGACGTTATTCGGCTGTCTTTTTCCACTCATTTTCAACTATTGCTAAACCAGCACTTATCTGTAATCTTTCTAATCTTTGATTTATCAAAGATATAGCGGAGAACTGGTATGATTATAGCTGTTGATGAGAGGAAACAAATAGTCAAAAAGTGCCATTGAAGCAAATAGTTAAGCTATCCTTGAAAATGGGTTACAGCCAATTTTTTAGAAGCAGAGAGCTAGTGAGCAAGCAAGCAAACCAGCAGGTAGTGCATGTGAGATATAAGCCTCCGTCACCTTGTCTAACATAAGCGTCATCATCGCTACTTCCTTAAAAATCTCGGCAACACATTCTGCGGGTTATGTAAGACTACCATTATCAAGTTTCCTTATCTCCTGACAATTCCGGTCGACCAAAAACGCAAAGAACGCTCCGAATTAATACAGTAAAGTAACGTAGGTATCACGCAGAGAGATGCGTGATGTTTTGCTGAGTTAAGAAACCACACCATGTACTGGTGACTTGTCTTACCCAAGGCTGAAAAACTATCTTGACAATCGTTTTACTTGTTTGTGCATATTTTAACTCTGAAATGTAATGGGTGGTAGATGGATGAATAGTCGTACATGCGAATACGTTTCTGTGTATGAAGAGGTGCATGTTTGATAATTTGTAATTAATAGTTTTACTGGATCCTCCTAATTGTGGGGAGCAATGTGCATGTGGCGAGGATACGTTTATCATGACAAGCGGAAGACTACGCAATAACGGAGGCGTACTAGTAGAGCGCACGTAAGGCATCCCACCATGTGAAGGTGTATCTACCCAGTGTGCTCATCAGCCTCCGGCCTCCAGAGATGAACACCCACCCACCTCTCTCCCCACTCACCATTCTCCCATTCCCCTATCACTGCTATCCTCCCATGAACAAAAACAATCTAGAGATGCATTCAGCAACCGTCTGCAGAGAGGGTTGGGAACTGGGCAATATTTCATCTCATAATACCAGCTGCGGAGACTCTTTTGAGTCGAGACATTTTTGGGTGTCTGAAAGTCATAACGGACAAGAGGTTGGCGAGTACCGGTTTTGTTACACACGAGGAGGAGGAGGAGGATGAGGAGGAGGGCATCAGGAGGAACAGGTGAAGCTCTATACTAGCATTATCCTTTTATGATGCACGTCCACTATGCGCTCATTCTCTTGCATCACGTACCGTATGTAATACTATTCCTTTCATTGCTTGAATGGAATCCATGTCCAAAACTTCCCTTGTCTTACTACTTATAAAAATGTTATTAACCTGCATAAAAATTCTTGATTGGCAATAGCCAGCGCGGTGATTATGTACACTGCTCAAGGTTTTTTGCCCGCTTCGCTGTTGTAGCGCCCTCGCCCATATATTTAACATTTTTACCCAAGGTGACCTGTTGTCGGTGCTTTGCATGGTCAGTTGGCCACAGGCTAGCAGCGTGCGCTGCTTGTCTGTGGCCACCACCTACTCTACTGTGTTCATTATTATTTAGCTCTTACTTTATTTTATCTTTCTTTGGGGAAATTTATATAGGAAACAGAAGTTCACATATGCTGTATCTGCAATGTTTTTAGTTGTCTTCATTAATATGCAGTGATAATTACATAGTCTCATTACTGAAAATATTCATTAGAGAAATTATTCAAAAAGATATAAAAAAAAATTCTGGAAATGTGGTCGTTAAAACCAGCCAATTTCCTTTCACGGGCAATAATTCAATATCTGAGCCTTTAATTTGAGCCGTCCAGCGCCCTATTGTTGCGCGATTGCCGCCCACCCTCGTGAAAACTCTGAATTAACAGTGGTTCATGCACAAGCCACCTGCAGACTTAAGATGATGACTTAAGCCAGCTGACTGCTTGTGTGTGCATGCGTTAGGGAAACAAACAAGGAGGCAGAGTATGGGTGCGGGAAGAGGTGGAGGCAGGGTATGGGCACAGGGATGGAGGGAAGGCAGAGTATGAGCAAAGAGGCTAGTGGGGAGTAAAGTGTCTGACGGGGGACAGGGTATGAAAAGATGGACGGGAAGGGGACGCAGGCTGAAGGGGGGTTGCAGGGTACGAGCAGAAGGATGGGAGGGGAAGGGTGAGGGGCAGGAGCGAGAGGCAGGGTAAGGGCTAAGAGGTGGGACGGAAATGGGGA